AAAATCAACGGTTAATAAAGAGGTCCCATTGTGTCATCACAATAACCACTTGCTATATTGTTATGGGTCAAGTGATCAATCAGTCAAATTGCTAAAGGTCAGTAAAGTAACCACTCCAGTCTAGTGTTAAGAACACAATGATGTTATAAAAATAATAACCACTTGTCCCTATGAATGAGTACAGTGACAGAAATGATGTAATTTTGTTATGGTTAATAGTGGTCAATACTTTGCCAGAATGAAGAAGAATTGGTTGCAGAGTTGTAGACAAGCAAAATAAAAAGAATAAATTAAAAAGCCTAATTATTGACCATTAAAAGCACAATTAAGTGAAGGACTTAAAAATGTTGTACCATTTTAAGAAAACTCACTCTTTGTAATATGATGTGTCACTGTGCACATTCTGCTTATACAGTAATATTCTTTTGAATATACCATAACAATTCACTATAAATTGCTATTATTATATATTACATGTATTATAAATCTGTCACTGTAACACAAGTTACAGTGTGCCGTAATTTGGCTGTATTTTACGAGGTATTTTCCTCCTACCATATTAGGAAATGCAAATTCCAAATATGGAATGATTACGCGTGTAAGCGTCCTCAAAAACCTTGCCATCAGGGTTTGACTGGACTCCACACAAAGAAATTTGCTGATTTTGTTCTAAACTTTTTAGATTTCGGCATTCCCATGATGTATCAAGGAAAAGATGTATAATAATAAGGTTATTACGAGGATAATGCAAAGTATGCACTCAGACAGTGCGTGGCGTATCAACCTCCACCTTTGTCAGTCGATACGTACATACTTTTCAGTATCCTTGTAATAACCTCATAATATTACATTATAATAATAATAATAATAACTTTATTGCCTTCGTGTAAAAAGATTTACATAGGATAAGTACAGCAAAAAAAAGTTTCAAAATAATAACAAGATATATGTAAGAATTGTACAAAAAACAAAAGAACTTAACTAGTATTTAAATGTTAAATAAATCTTTTTGTTGTGTAAATATGATTGGCAAGTTCTATAATTATGTCAGAATCTTTGCTTGAGAGTATATATGTGAACTGTATATTTTTATTGTTGGATGAAAGTAGTGTCATAATTTTTTGGATGAAATTTTCCCTGTGTGTGTAATATTTTGG